CCGCAGATCTTTTAATTTTGCTCCTTCAACAACTGAAACCAAAAGCTTCTGCCTTGAAAGTACTGGCTACAATTGCAAGGCCACTTCTTTAACTGCAGATCACCGAAGATAGAGGTAAAGACTAAAAGCAAAATGTTTTAAAAATCTATATTTTGCAATTCTAATTCTGATTCCAGGACTTATAAATAAAGGCATCAAAAATCTATATAAATAGGAGAAATATTTTAGCATTGTACGTAATCAACCATAGCATTAATTTTTTCCTCATAAAGCATAATGTAAGCATGGTTTAATTAGGTCCCCAACCTTTCAAGTTTTCTACTAAAGTGGGATAATAGGGGTTCTGCTTTAATCAAGCACAGCAGAGTCATTTATTTTCAAATTTTCATCAATTTGAAACAAAATAACCATCCAAAAATGCACCAATGAAGGGTTATTAACGAGTCAACCCAAGTACGTAAGTACTTGTGTTCAATCTCATCTTAAAAATTTGAATTATTTAAGTTGAGCTCAAGTATTTATAGAGTTTAAAATAGTTGAGTTTATGCTAAAACTCACAAGTATTTGAGTGACGGTTCGAGTTTGCTCGTGAACTTGGATACTCAAGTAAACCAATACATTAACTTGAATTCAAGCTTCTTTCCTATACTTCCAAATTGATTCAGTAACAAATCATTTAACTATAAACTTTTCTATATTTTTCAGAACTATTATAATCCCAAAAGCTTGAACAAGAGCATTACATTAGGTCTAATAGTAAAAAAACCAATCATAAACTCCATTTTAAACATTTATTAATAATTCTATAAAACTCAAAATATGTAACTTATTTAAGTTGCATTTTCAATATTGTTAAGTTTATAAGTTATTATATATTTAAATTTAATAAATAAATATATTATATAATTTTTAATTCTAAATCGAGTATTCACTGTAGTTTAAGTTCATTAATTTTTATCGAACTCAATGTTGAATTTGAACTTGACTCATTTAATAAATAAGTTGAGTTCAAATTAAACTTAGCTCAAGTAGCTCATAAACCTTAATCGCTAAGGACCTACTTGGATTCATTGACAACCACATCATTAGCTTCAGCAGCTTGTTTCAAGAAATAAAAGTTTGATAATTGGAGTCAACAAAAAAAAAAAACAAAAATGTAAGGATGGAAGGAGAGAGAGAAAAAGAGAGAGAGAGTTACGACCTACTGTGAGGAAGAATGTTGATGCTAAAGAACTCAAGCAATGCAACAATTGGGATTGGAATGGATGGAGCTGGAGATACGGTTTGGAGGCAGCACACCAAATTGCACCACTCCTCTGGCGATCCTTGTTGGAAAAATAAACTTGATTTATTAATCTCCTATTTTTAGTCATATAACTGCATAGTTCATGTACCAACATAGTTCATGTACCCATTACATTTTATCGTTACAGTTTCTAGGAGTTGCATTTAATTGTTTTGGGTTTGGAGTCTTTTGTGCCTATAAAATGGCTTGTACTTGAGCAGTTGTATATCTAAGCCAAGAATTCAGAAGCATTTCTGGAAAGTTTCTTCTTGTGTTCTTCTCCAGTCTTTCCTTCCAAGTTCTTTATTTCCAACAAAGTGGTATTAGAGCTTACTTCCAAAGATGAATAGTACTTTTCCCTTTGTAGTTCCCAAACTTACAAAGGAGAATTATGGACATTGGTGTCTTCGCATGAAGGCATTGCTTGGCTCACAAGAAGCATGGGAGGTTGTTGAGAAAGGCTATGATGAACTAGAGAATGAAAGAGTCTTGAATCAAAATCAGAAGAATGCTCTGCAGAAGCTTTGAAAGCAAGATCAACATGCCTTCTCTATCATACACATGGGCTTGGATGAAGCTCTGTTTGAGAAAGTTGCTACTGCAACAAAGGCTAAGGAAGCCTAGGAGATTCTTAAGAATAATTTCAAAGGAATTGACAAAGTGAAGAAGGTTTGCCTTCAGACTCTTCGTAGTGAGTTTGAATCTCTACATATGAAGGAGTCTAAATCTGTTTTCGACTATTTCACTAGAGTGTCTTCCATTGTCAATCAAATGAAGCGTTATGGAGAAAAGATTGAAGATGTACATGTTGTGGAGAAGATTCTCAGGTCACTTGACTCAAAACTTGAGTTTGTGAGTGTTGCCATTGAAGAATCAAATGACTTGGATTCCATGACCCTCGATCAACTCATGGGGTCCTTGCAAGCATACGAAGAAAGATTTAAAAAGAAGGGAGAATCAATGACCCAAGTTCTCCAAACTAAGGTCTCTTTGGCAAAACAAGAGCAAGAGCAAGAGCATGGAAGATCTCACGGAAGAGGTCAAAATCAAGGTCGAGGCCGAAGTCATGGTTGTGGTCGAGGAGGAAATTTTGGCCATGGCAAAGGAAGAAATGAAGGTGGCCAGAATTCTAACAATGAAGGGTCAAGCAATCAACCACGAGGATGTGGAAATTATGGTTCAAAGAGAGGTAGTGGAAGAAGGTATGACAAGTCCAATATTCAATGTTATGCTTGTCACAAATATGGTCATTTTGCCAATGAATGTAGAGTTCCTCCACCAACAATGAGGAGAGAGCTAATTATGTTGAAGCAAAAGAAGAAGAAGAATTGCTACTGTTGATGGCAACTAAAGAAGAAAGAGAGACAAGAGCATGGCACCTTGACACTAGTGCCGCTAATCACATGAGTGGCAACAAAGAGTTGTTCTCAACTCTTAATGAGGCAATGAAAAGCAACATTATATTTGGAGATACCAAAGTCCCAATCAAAGGCAAAGGTGATGTTCTCATTCGTTCGAAAAATGGAAGTCACCTTTTAATTAATCAAGTTTATTATGTGCCCACTTTGAAATCTAGTATTTTGAGCTTGGGACAATTACTTGAGATGGGGTATGACATTCACTGAAGAATAGTTGCCTTACTTTGACAGATGGTTCACACAACTTGGTTGCAAAGGTACCTATGGAGAAGAACAGAATGGTTCTGCTCAATGTTCACATAGATCATCCAAGAAGCTTGAAGAAGCTTCTTGGCTTTGGCACTTGAGACTGGGTCACTTGAAGTTTGGTGGCTTGAAGGCTTTAGCAAATGAAGAGATGGTGAATGGGTTGCCCAAAATTAATCACCCCAACCGACTATGTGAAGGATGTCTTTTTGGCAAGCAAGCTAGAAAAAGCTTTCCAAAGAAGGCCACTTTTAGAGCAACCAAGCCACTCCAATTGGTTCATGTGGATGTGTGCAAACCAATCAAACCATCATCATATGGTAAAGCTAATTATTTCTTGCTTTTTATTGATGATTTTTCTCACGAGACTTGGTTTTATTTTTTGAAGGCAAATCCATCAAAAGCTTAAGGACTTATCGAGGAGGAGAATTCACTTCCAAGTAGTTTCAAAATTTCTATGAAAATAATGGAATTCGTCATTTCCTCACTGTTCCAAGGTCTCCGCAACAAAATGGCATGGTGGAGTGGAAGAATAGAACCATTCTTAACATGGTTCGAAGCATGCTTAAGAGCAAGAATATGCCTAAGGAATTCGGGATAGAAGCAGTGGCATGTGCTGTGTTTTTGTCTAATCTTTCTCCCTCAAGAAGTGTTCAAGGTATGACACTACAAGAAGCCTGGAGTGGTCAAAAGCCTAATGTTTCTCGCCTTTGTGTTTTTGGAAGTATTGCTTTTATTCATGTTCCAAATGAGAAGAGATCAAATCTTGATGGAAAAAGTGAGAAATTTGTCTTCATCGGCTATGATTCAAGCCCCAGAGGCTACAAGTTTTACAATCCCTCCAATGGGAAGATTGTAATCAGTAAAGATGCTAAGTTTGATGAAGGAAGTTCATGGGATTAGAATGTCTCTCAAAATGAAGAGTATGTTACTTTTCCGTTACAAGAAAGAAGATGTAGACAAGACACAAGGCAAGATGTTGTTACTCCACCTCACTCTCCTCATGGATCTTAATCACTTGAGGATTGTTCTTCTGAAAGGCCACTACGTACAAGAAATCTTGCTGATATTTATGAAGAAACAGAGGTGGTTGATAATCCAAGTTTCTTTTGTCTCTTTGTTGACATCGAGCCGTCAAATTTCGAAGAGGCAGCAATAGACAAGAAATGGAAGCATGCAATGGATGAAGAGATTAAAGCAATCCAGAAGAATGGCACATGGGAGCTGGTGACTCTTCTGAAAGGGCAAAAGGTAATTGGCGTGAAGTGGGTGTACAAAGTGAAGAAAAATGCTCAAGGGAAAGTGGAGAAATATAAGGCAAGCCTTATTACAAAGGGTTATAGCTAGGAATATGGCATTGACTATGATGAGGTTTTTGCCCCTATTGCTTGCTTGGAAACCATTCGATTGATTATCTCCTTGGCAGCTCAAAACAAGTGGAAAATTTATCAAATGGACGTTAAGTCTGCTTTCTTGAATGGCTATCTTGAAGAGGAAGTGTATGTTCAATAGCCATTGGGATATGTTGTCAAGGGACATGAAGAAAAAGTCTTGAAATTGAAGAAGGCATTATATGGCTTGAAGCAAGCGCTAAGGGCATGGAATAGCCGCATTGATAGATATTTCCAAGACCATGGATTCACCAAATGTCCACATGAACATGCTTTTTATGTCAAAGAAGACAAAAATGGAGGCTTTATGCTAGTGTGCCTATATGTTGATGACTTGATCTTCATCGGAAATAATGCAAACATGTTTGGAGAATTTAAAAAGGTGATGGCTTAAGAATTTGAGATGACAGACATTGGTCTCATGTCCTATTACATAGGAATTGAGGTAAAGCAAAATTAAGATGGGATTTTTATTTCTCAAGAAGCTTATGCAAAGAAAGTTCTCAAGAAATTTAAGATGGAAAATTGCAAGCCGGTAAGCACCCCCATTGCTTGTGGAACTCGATTGTCAAAGTACGATGAAAGTCCTTTGGATCCATCTCTGCATAGAAGCCTTGTTGGAAATCTGAGATATTTGACTTGCACAAGACCAGACATTCTTTATGGTGTTGGTCTTGTGAGTCGGTACATGGAGGCACCTACTTTAACACACATGAAGATGACCAAGAGAGTACTTCGATACATCAAAGGTACTATTGATTATGGCCTAAGTTATTCTTTTTCCACAAATTTCAAACTCTATGGCTACAATGATAGTGACTGGGGTGGTGATGTTGATGATCGAAAAAGCACCACTGGCTTTTTATTTTTCTTGGGTGACACTGCTTTCACTTGGTGTTCAAAAAAGCAACCCATTGTAACTCTCTCTACTTGTGAAGCTGAATATGCTTTTGCTGCATCATGTGTCTGTCATGCAATTTGGCTAAGGAAGTTGTTGGAGATGCTGCACATGCCTCAAGATGAAGCTATAACCATTTACATAGACAAAAAGTCAGCTATTGCTTTGGGAAAGAATCCAATGTTTCGTGATCGAAGCAAGCATATAGACACCAGATATCACTTTATCAGGGAGTGCATTGAGAGGAAAGATGTAAAGCTTGCCTACGTGAAGACTAATGATCAAATTATAGATATTTTCACTAAGGCACTAAAGTTTGAAGATTTTGCAAGACTACGTGCTTGGATTGGAGTGGCTGTGGGTGCTCAAGTTTCTGGGGGGGGGGTGTTGGAAAAATAAACTTGATTTATTAATCTCTTATTTTTAGTCTTGTCCCTACATGGCTCATGTATCAGCATAGTTTATGTACCCATTGCATTTTATCTTTACAGTTTCTAGGAGTTGCATTTAACTGCTTTGGGTTTGGTCTTTTGTGCCTATAAAATGGCTTGTACTTGAGCATTTGTATATCTAAGCCAAGAATTCAAAAGCATTTCTGGAAAGTTTCTTCTTGTGTTCTTCTTCAGTCTTTCCTCCCAAGTTCTTTATTTCCAACAATCCTCTCCGCCATTTTCCCTTCTCTGATAAACCCTAGCCCGAAAGTTTCGGACGGTATGGCTGCCGCCTCCATTGCTGTAGAACCTTGGAAGACCGGAATGAAGACTCAAGGCTTCCTTTAAGAACGTTTCTCCATACTTTATTTTTATTATTTTTAAAATATATAAAATATTAATTAATATTAATACTAAATATCTTAAATATATTATATTTTTTAAGATATTTAAATTTTTTTTTTTTTTTAAAAAAAAGCTCTATAATTGCAGTAATAAGTCACTATTGTGGGGAAGCACCTAAGCTGAAGGTCAGCGCACAACAATACTAATAAAATGGACTAAGGCTTTGGGTTTTAGATTTTGGGTTAGGTGAGCTGACTGGCTGAGCTCGTTTCTTCTTATATAGAAAAAGGGCTTAGTTCATTTGGGTTTTTTTTTCTATTCTAAACAATGGTTTTTTCCTTTGGGGAAAGTGTTGCGCAAATCGACTTCTATAAATTTTTAGGAGATTCATTTAAAAACGACATCGTTCTAAATTTCAATCATCCTTTTCAGCTCTGACCTTCTTCAGTCTAGCCCTAAACCCTTTTCCTATCAATAAAAAATTTCCCCCTCTTTTCCCATCAGCTTTCCCCTTCTTCAGGCTAGACCGAAGATTGGTAGGAGGAATTCGAAATGATATCGTTTTAATTTGAATCTCCCAAAAATTTATGGAGGTCTACTTGCGTAGCGATCTACTTGCGTAGCACTTTTCCTTTTTTACCTTTCGGTAATAGAGATATTACAAAGTTAATCATCTAAACAATGGTTTGAATTTGAATTAAAAGGTTTGTTTCATTTGCGAGGGAGGGGAGAGGAGGAGAGATCACAACATCAACAATAATTTTTTTAATAAAAGTGTTATATAATTTGAATTGTATCAAATTATATAATATAATGTAATGATTTGGATGAACTCTTTAATATTTAGGATTATTATTCATCCAGTGATTATTATTTTAGAGAGAATTACAAAATATGACTCTTTTTTGTTAATCTTTTTTTTATATTATCAAATCAATTAGATCATAAGATCCATTAATTAACTTTTATTGTCACATCAATTTTTAACTTAATAGATGATAAACTAGTTAACAAAGAGGTTTATTCTTTATCTTATTAATTACAAATTGATTCTTTAAAAAAATCAAAAAAATAATTTCACATGAATTTTTTAATTCTAATATCAATAATCTGCTTTCAACTAGATCAAATAAATCTATTTAATGTAATAGAAAAAAGATGGCTTACGATACCCCTTAATTGTTATAAAAAAAAAAAAATCATGAGTGCTAGAAAGAATTAAGAAAAATAAATTGAATGCCTTGGAATACAAGATGCGGAGGACAAAATCAACAACAGTTTTAATAATTAATGGGCACCACGCATTACGCGTCCTTCAGCTAAATTTTGTCTTCGCTTGATATAAAATAGGAGTGTGTGACATTTTGTTAATAGATAGATATTGCCCTGCAAGCATATATTCCTCTATCCACTACATTGAAATTCACAACATTAGATATAATTTGAACTTTGAAATTTTTTAATAGGTAGATCAAGATGGAAATCGAACTTCGCATTGTGTGCTGCTCGGTATGCCTAACTTGGGTGTGAAAGACTAACGCCAAGGGTTTGACGTCAGGCATGTAGATGATGTAGAAATGCAGTTGGTCATGCCTTATCTGTTGGTCAATCTGTTGGTCAGTCTCCAGTCAAGCCTCGACTTGGTGACCATTGGTCAAGCCATGCAATGGTTCAACCTCCACAAAGTGCGGCAAATTCTCAAAAAACCCAACAGGGTAATCGCTGCACATGGTGCTATACACCACACCCCGCAAGTTAATAAAGCCCTAGACAGCATTATGGAGCGGGTTTATGGAAACCCTTACTGGGATTCAGAGCTCAAGATGGAGGATGATGTGTACAAGCATATCGATCTTCTTTTCAAGCCAGTGGAGGGAGAAGAGCATACTGAACCATTTGTTTGTGCCGCATATATAAGTGGATAGGATTGGAAGAGTATTTTGCCTACTTGAGATCGAAGGAGAAGCGAATGGAGCCTCGAATGGATGATGTGATTGAGGAGTTCAAGCTTTCCTGGAATGAGATGGCAATGGCGGCCAGAAACTGGTTGCCT